TTAACACTTAGTAGTATCGTAGTTTATATATGAATGATTAAAGCTTGATGAAGCAAAGCATTTGGCAGCCTTGCTGTCACATTCACAAAGAGCTTTCTTGCATTGTTTTTGAAGGTCATCAAGAGGGTACTCGGATTCAGGTACTGAAAAAAAAAAAAACAAGCTAGAATTAAACGACAGACAAATCTTCTCATTGTCTTGGATTGTTTCTAGTAATCTTCGAAAACATCGATACCATAACATGTTCCAAATGGTTTAAGCATTCTCTCAGCCGATTTTGGTCAGCGGGCTCGAAATTAAGACGACCAACTTATTCTTGATTGACATCAACAAAGCAGTATTTTGTTAACCTAAGGCCTGTTTTAAAGGTCGTGCTACTGCCGTGCTAAGCTGGCTCGACTGTAGCTCGACTGCAGCACGACACTAGCACGACTTGGTTTCAGACGTCGAATTTAATTCCGTCGAATAGAACGGCTGTTGCCGAAAACAAAACACAAAAATATAGAAACGGTTTAGCAAACTTTTAAATGTAGTCTAATGTATAGCTAATGTATTTATAATTTATGAATTGAGTTCGGCACGGCGGTAGCACCACGTTTGAAACCAAGTCGAGCTACTGCCGTGTAGCACAGCAAGGCTTGCCGTGCTACACGGCAGTAGCACGACTTGGTTTCAAACGTCGCGCTACTGCCGTGCTAAAGTCGAATTTAATTCGAGCAATTGAGTTCGGCACGGCAGTAGCACGACGTTTTAAAAGGGCCTAAGCGTCTTGCAAAATAAAGTAGGCGACAGAAAACTGCTAGACAAGCTTTTACATAGTATCTTTAACTTGTGCCTTTATTCGTTGTGTAGACGACGGAAAGTAGTTTTATAAAGGAACCAATGTTGTTATAAACCTTTTTGTCGATATGGCGGCAATTTTGAATTAAATGAATTTCAGAGGCTGTTATTGGATGCCCAACAGGTACGGGTGGTTGTACTGATTGACTTTGCAAAATGCTTTCTAGACATAGGATTTCTTTGGAGGCGAATTTTAGGCTATTGTTTAGATTTAGAAATGATCAACAGTCTCTCGGAAAATATTTTGAAATTTAAATCATCTTTCGGGAAAATGACATTGCTATGAGAAAGGTGCGTCTTTGACAAAATACATACTCTCTGGGGTATGCTTAAACCACACAGCCTCCGCATCACTGAACTGTATCGTAAGAACCAGGGCTATTGTGTTTATAATTTAACTATATAGTATCTGAACAATTTTAAACTTTAGTGTGAATGGAAAAAAATGGCCTACACATAGATTCATTAACAGTATACAGTCTAGGTCAGGGAGACGTTTTTAAACATGAGCTTTATAGCGAACGGTTTAGACTCTAAAGTAAATTTTACTGTGCAAATTCTTACCACATTGACGACATCCATTGTAGCGATAAATAGAATAATACGTTGCCAATTCCGAGCAAATACTGTTTTTTGTCAAGCGATCATAGCATGAGTCGTGTTGCAAACAACACCTGAAACAAGAAAACCTAACATGAATCAACTTTCCTTTGATTTAAGACTGAGGCAAAAACAGTAAAAGAAAATGCGTCCTTTTTTCTTATTATCTAGTGGAAAAACTAAAATCAAACTTGTCCACGGGGTCTTCATTATTCTTGTCCAGCGCTATTTCCTTGTTCGTGGTGCATATACATACAGAAGGCGCAAGGGAACGCACGGAGCAATCGGCTATAAGGAAGTCCAAATAGTTTTAAAACAATAAATTGGTCTTTTGAAGCAAAATAATTAAACTAACTAGTCCTCTAGAGCTAATTAGTCGTTTGGTATAAAAGGAAGACCCATCAGAAAAGTAAACGACAACACCGCGACAAAGAGAGGGGACAAAACACTGCCTCTTTCTAGTCCGGTTTCTGGACAAATTGAGCATAACTGCGTTCCAGTTTACAGTCAGTACTAGACGAATTTAAAGTCGTCTGTTAAGTGCTTCGTTCAGATGCAAAATTAAGAGAGGACGTTCTTAAAGTCGTCAAACATAGCATAAAAACGGCCGATCCCAATCCATCTGTTACTAGACTAAATTCTGTAATCCCTCAAATCCGCAAGGATTCATTCTGTCCTCAATGAATAGAACTCCCAGCGGTGGGATTAGAGGGGTAAACAACAAACTTTTAGTAGCTAGAGGCTCGTCCCTAAGGTCCAACCCCTTACCCTTTTTATAAACGATTTTTGACAGAAAAGGGTAGCCATTTCGAATACCCTCTATTGACAAAACACCACTTTAAAATACCCCTTTTGCATCCCTTTTAACTGCTGTAAATGCACCGTCTTTTAGATATAAATTATCACAAAACCAGAACGTTTTCTCATTCTTTCACAGCCATAAAATTCATCTGTTAGCCCTTCTGGGCCTTTTTAAAGACCAAACTGACAGATTTTCCCACCCTTTCATATACGCCAGCTACTAAAATCCCCTTCTTTTTCACATACCTCTTGTGAAGCCTCAAAAAGAGGCCATTAGGCCATTATAAGGCTCAGTAGAACTACAATACATTGCTTCCTGGCTCTTGCACCCAGAAGGAATGATTACCTGTCAGTGCCATCCACAGGCTGCCCTGATCCTCCATACCCACACCAGCAGCCATAATCATAATAATCCCACATGCTTCGATTTGTGGAACACTGGATCATGTTTCCAAACTGCAACAGGTTACGAGCTTAAAACAATTGACAATTTTAGTTAGATATTTAGTTTGAGTTTCGTACTCCTGATGTATATTGATTATCTTGATTATTATGTCTCCAGAGTCCAGTCGACCACTTTGCAAAGCAATTTAGAGCATATATCACTTTATAAAAAAAACTAAGATAGTGCGCTTTCTGATTGGTTAAAAACCTATGGTTTATTGTGCCGGTAAACTCATAGAAAACTTAAAGTTATTTTATAATTAAGCAATAGACCACACTTTCTATGGGTTTACCGGCGTGATAACCGACTTGGGATGTTGAGAGACTACTCGAGAAGCTTGTAAATCACTCGCCTTCGGCCAGTGATTTACAAGCATTTCTGGTGTTCTCCCAACACCCCGCGCGGGTTATCACGCCGGTAAACCCTCAGAAAGTGTGGCCTATTGCTTAAATAAAAGGTTATAACGAGCTGTTATCTTGATGGTTTATTTCTAACAGATTTTGGTCATAGACTGGTTCACGTCCTTAGGTTCAAGATGGGTAATCAGGGCAAGGTTGAGGGAAATTCAAGCTTAATAAGGCTACGTATGTGTAGACAATACCGAATGGCTTTTCATGTGGACGTGAACGGCTATCCGGTTAAGTATGAACTCCTTCCTGTTCACACTGCGTTAACGAGTGTCACATCAACCTTGGCCTAGTTGTTCGAACGCCGGTTAGCACTAACCCGGGGTTAGGTTTTAACCCGGGTTTCCTTATCTTTTTATCAAAAGCACTCTCTCGGATCTATTCTTTTTAGAGTATCCAATCGTCAAATACTGAATTTGCTTTTTAAGTATAACTGAGTTCAAATTTCGCGCTAACCGTGGGTTATCTTAACCCAGCTTCGAACAACCCGGCCCGGTCTAATGTATGATGATCCACTTTCAGGATCGACGCGGGGCAGCTTCGCTCCGTTACAGAAACCGCGCCGAAATCACCGCCCTCTTGTGTGAATAGAAGCTCTATCCGATACGGTTTTCGTGCCGGTGAAAGAGCTATGCGATATCGTGTAGTCATAACCTACGTCGCGTGGATTTACATATTTGGACCCAGTTCCCATTTTAGGAAATTAACCTTATGAATCCGTCTGGTGATCTTTGAAAAATGTCGGCTTTTTACTACAAACTTGAAAACAAAAATCGCAATGATGTCTTAGCATTTTTTTTTTTTACAAACTTGAAAACAAAAATCGAAATAATGTCTTAGCATTTTTAAATTCTTTTTAGTTCTTCAAGTAGACTGTCTTGAGGTACAGTAAAACGAGCAACAAGAACGTGCAACTTGTTTTGCAACATTCCTGCACAAAATCAGCTGAATAGCGATGATGCGTGTTTTACCACCCACGAATCAAATCTGTCTTTCAACAAATCAGGTTGTTGTAGGTTGCAAATAGTTGTCAGAAAGTAGATCGAGGTATAGTTATACTTTTGTTACAAAATTGGTGTGTGTTGCGCGTTTAACCGGCAAAAGGCAAACGTGACGTAATTTCCGTATATGGCGTGACTACCGCATGATTGTATCCAATCAGACCCAGCTGTTCAAAAGTTGGATAGCGCTAGCCTATGAACGGATAGGTGTTAGGGAAACCAATTGCGCTAGATATTGAGTTATCCGGTGAATAGCCCCGGGGGTTACTTCCTTAAAAGAGGCTAATGGGAATGTGTCGCTGAATGGGGTCGCATTTTCACAAGTGGATTGACTATAATGGGGTCGCATTTTCAATAGAGTTACTAGAATGGGGTCGCACATTTTCGGATTTTTTGGGGTAAGAAAGTTCTTCATATTTACGGTTACCAAACGTACCAGAATGTTTGTACTGTATATGAAAGGTAAAGTGTTCTTCATCCAATCTAAAAAATGGGTAAGTTCGTAAAATTAGAAAGTGACAAAGTTGGGATTGCGAAAATACATATTTGCCCAAAAGTGACTAAGATGGGGTCTATAATTGGTCACAGAATAGACTATAATGGGGTAGGGGCTCTGAGAGATCAGCGGCACATACCCTGCCAAATTTAGCCAAGTACCCCCCCCCCAAGGGTGAATAGCGTTATCCACCTTTTGAACAACTGGGGCCAGAAGTCAACTTTCACGCAACTAACAGTAACCTGAATTTCTTGGAAGATAAGAAAGAACGTGGGTGGTAAAACGCGCAACATCGCTTTTCAACTCGTTTTGCAGCAATGTTGAAAAACAAGTTGCACGTTTCTGTTGTCCGTTTCGTTACCGTAGCTTTAAGACACTAAGTTAAAGAACAACTACAGTCGACTCTCTCTTAACGGACACCTCTGTAAAACGGACACTTAGAGTTGGTCCCTGCCTTTTTTGACTCACTATAAGACGGACACCTCTTAGCCTGAGTATCAGGCGTTTCTGGGGAAAAGGGGAAAGATGGAAGTGAAAAAGGGAGAGAGCTGCTTCCTTTCTCTTCTCCCCCTCCCCCCTCCCCCATGTAAAATCTCCTCTCCCCTAGCCCCTTAAGGAGGCCTGATACTCAGGCTAGACACCTCTCTAAGACGGACACTTAGTGCCGGTCCCAAAGGTGTCCGTCTTAGAGAGAGTTGACTGTATTTAGCTTTGAATTTCATACAAATCTTTCAATTTCCTACCATATTAAATCGCCCTGATAAACCATCGTGTACTCAGTAAAAGCATAACCATGTATGTATCTTAATGTCAGTCAAAGTCCCTTGCACCAGCATCTTGAATCTTTACACGAAGAATGTTTGTATAGGGTAGAGTTTAAATGTATTTCCTTTTGTTTTATTTATTTTTTGTTTATTTTGTCTTTTGTTAGCTTTCCGATACAAAAAGAAAAAGTGCCTATAAAATAATTGACTCTTTTGAGTAAACTGATGAGCTTTTAAAAGCTCATCAGTCTTAAAAGACCTATTACTTTCCATAAAAACGTTTCATTTCAGATTATTATGGACATGTTTTTAGGGTATAACCGTGATTCTTTGAAAGAAAAGACTTCTTTTGCAAAGCTACAGCAATGAATTTCGCAATTTCATTAATATGTAGTTTAATTAAGGAACAAAGGAAAAGGCCACAGACAATACAAACGTTTTAGTCTTTTAACACCAAACGGATGTAGTTTTGTTTACGGTTTTACACAGTTGTTTCAATATTAAAAGCTGCTACGGACATTCTTAACAATGACATAACAGCTTACCATGTCTTGTTTTAATGAAAGGCACTTTTCCGATTTTGCCCTGGAAGAAAAGTTAAACATAAGACATACATGAAAACGTAACTCGGCTCATGCCGTGATTTTTACTCAAATTGTTAATAAACTGTAAGAATAGTGATTTCAATCCTAAATGCGTGTATATGCGTTGGATAGAAACGGTTGTTATGCAGACTAATTCAGGACGTTTGTCATTTCATATTCACAAGAAACACTTGAAACTTGAAAAGAGTCCAGCTATGATTTGTGGTAAAATGCAGCTCGAAGAGTTACGTCAGAAGATTTTAAGGAAAAGCTTTGAGAGCCCGGGAAAAAATCCAGACACATCTCAACTCTTATTTCCACACTTCTGATAATGTAGAATAAAAAGTTTCATTAAAATCCAACCGACACTGAGGAAACATAATTGGAAGTGCGGAGATTGAGCTTTCAAGGTCGCGGTTGTCCATGCTTCTTAATAAGAACCTTGTGCTAAAGAAACTTAAGATATGAATACGTGAGGGCAGTTTCAACCCAACCCCAATTTTTTGGGCTCAGTATTTCCGAGCACCTTTCTTGTCACGACCTTCTTGATTTCAAACCTTATTCAGTCATCATAGCCAACCGTGGTACATCCAACAAAACCTAAATTTCAGTCAGATAGTCTTTTCCATACACCGAGATACCCATAGCTGTTGTTTTAACCCATAATTTGAAGTTGAAGTCTGAGACGTTGTTTTGTCTGCTGTACTTCACGCACGGACAGCGTGTGCAAACGTGACTAACGAGCTTGAATTGGGTCCAGAGTCTAAGGTTCACTTAGTACAGAGACAGAAAGTCAGCAATATCTACATTCTCCGATCACCGCAAATCTTTTAAGTTGACCCAGAAAAACTAAATATAGCTTAAATTCCACTAAGAACAAAGCAAGAAAAAATCTTTCCGAAATTTTCTAACTTGCGCTTGGAAAAACACAATCCACCGTTCAGTATTCTCTTTGCAGAGAATTAAAGTGGGCCCCAAGAAAGTCATCTTTGTAAATGGTCTGTAATAAGCCGATTTCAATCAATGTTCTCTCAGTGCTCATCGTTATCTATTCGAAAATTATTGAAATGCTATTGTCTCAGTTATTAAGTTAAATTCAACACCCGAACGAAGGCGTGCTTATCTTTAAAGCGCCTTTGCCGGTTTTATCAACACTACTGAAAGAGAGATACAAAGAACCGAGATAGATGCAGGTGAACTGGAGTTTATTAAAGGATGTATGAACTACTGTAGGTCTGGAAATCAGGGTAGATCCTTATAGCTTTTTTTTGTTTCATATTTCATACCACTTGAAGCTCCAAATGAGACTTATTTCAATTATCTTCCCATAAAAGTTGCCTTTATGTGCACATCAATAGGGAAAATTTTGAAAGGAACAGTCCTCTACGGCCCTTTAGAGTCAGTGTTAAATGTAGCGTGGTCTCAAATTGACATTGTTGTGAACTGAAGCATTGGATTCCTTTAAGACATATCCTTCATTTGAGAAGCTATATCGAACACTCTTAACACTCAACACTAGTTTCTTAACTATACAAACACCTATAAGTCGATGTGAAATAAAGTGCTGCTGCAACAACCCACTTCTCGCTGTCTGGATATCGAATGAAAACAGACCCTAACTTGTTGGTATGATGTATGATAATTCAAAACTATGATTTAATAAGAAATGGAAATCTTCTACGAGAGAAATCTAGGTCGATGCAACTTTTCAATAAACCTTTGAGGTATTTACTGATTACATGCTGTAAAACATGTTGCCTTGAAGCAGGCTTACCTTGAAGGCAGATGGAAATGACAAAACGCACACAACAACTGAAACAAGACAAAGTATGGCGGGAAGTGACCTCATGTTTTATGACTTTGACCCTGCGAGTTCTCAACAGAGAAAGCTTCGAGAGAACGAACAACACCTTAAAAGAGGATTGGAAAAAAATTGTTGGGAAATTTAAAGATCATTAAAGACATGACGTGTGTTTAATCAAGTATTAATGACTTGAATAACCAATCAGAATTTATTTTTTTCAGAACTTTTGTTAAATCTGTGTCAATAAAGGATGCTTCAACCTTTGAAATCTGTCACCGTCTTCCGAGTAAATTCAGTAAACCTCTTTGGACAAAAATGGTAGTGAGGTTTTCACTTTTTCTTTTACGCGTAAACAATCAAATATTTCCAGGTATAGTGATAGCAAGTTTAAGTTAGAAAGCATTATTTTTGTTATTTAAATGCCCCAACTATTAAAATATAAGAACCCGTTGTTTCAAGAGCCATTTGACATTGACAGTGGCTGACGTAATAAACCAGTAACTGACGTTTCACCATCTGCTGAATGACACATTTTGCAGAGTATCATGCAGTAATGAAAGCCAGAATCAGGCCGTTTAACCTCTTGGACGTTTTTGACCTAGGATAGAAATGGGTTCTGTTCCGTGCAACAAATTCCGACATTTTTTTATGAATAATTGCTGACCAGTGTAAGCACTAGTTTAGCGCATAGGACGTTTTCACATGACGTCACGTCGGAAACATAAGTGTCCCAAAACAATGAAACCGCGGCCATGTTCATGTTCCAAACCAGGCCTGTGGAAGTTCAACCTTTTTCGTATGAAAAATCGTGCCTTTGTTCCAGTAAGTTTGCATAGTTGCTGGCCACGCGAGAGAAAACTCTCTATAGCGATACGTAATCGTAATTGTGCAGTATCATATTCTGTTTTAAGTCATTTTAGAAAGCTCATTCGGTTACGCAATAAACAGGTTAAAATCATAGATTTGGCTGGCCAAAATAAGCAAGTCGGAAACCGAAAAGGTTTGCAGCAAAGAAAAAATGGAGCCTTTCTTCCAACATAATTTCCGAACGCATCTTCCCTCAGCTTTCGAACTGGGAAACGTGATTAATAGCATAGACACGAGGAAGCCATATGAAGTCCTCGGACAAAAGAGCTTTGTTTTTACACCGGACTTACCTGCAAAATGTTTGTTTTCATGCAAAGCAGTAGGAGTGAGTTAAAGGTCTATTGCTTCCCCAACAGCACTAATCCGCAGAAAAAAAGAATAAGAGTTCACTTTGCCCATTCAAAAAAACAAATGAAAATAAGTGACGAAGAAAGGGAAGCGAGTTTTTCAGGTAACCTCGACGAATTTCGTAGCTTCGTTTAAATCGAGCAGGTTTAAAGACCGTTTTCTGCGTTTTTTCTTTCTGAATCTCGGTATTAGTAGCAGTGATCACGTCCCATTAATCGACACTATTGCCGGGTATAGCTAGGCTGAAGGTGTTCTCTCTTTTTCCGTTCCGAACGTAGGCCACACAGGATACGCCGGACAAGTAAATAAAGAGGTAGATTCTGAAGGAAACTTTAGGGCTGCGTCGCTGGGGGAGTGAAATTCGTTTTATCAACTGAGTTTATATCGTCAATTTATCTTCGCATGAAATTCTGTGAAGCTTACGACTCGACTGCCAGTATTTTGTCAGAGAAAACAAAGGGATTGTGTCAGGAACCCATAACCCATGGACATCTTTTAAATGCAGATCGTTCTGTGTATTCAGAGGAGCGCCCTCCTAGTAAACCCTTCAAAATTATCCTTAGGTATAGTTATTTCTGACGGTTTATCGACCCGACCAGACACTCTGAATTTGAAAATTGCATCACAATGACACTGAAACGTCGTTCGATTTGATTCTCGTTTCTTTTTACTTGTTTTGAATAGAGAAAACATTGCTTAATAAATAATACTTAAATATTGTTAACTCTTGATATTATGTATTCGTTTATATACGTTTTCTCGCCGTTTGCTTTTAGTGTGGTCATTGCGTTTGGGTAGCGTTTTCACCCGGGGGTGTAGCAATATTTCTATGGGTATATCGAGGTATAGGCGAGTTGCTGACGGTTCAAAATCCCTGACCTTGTAAAGAACAAAATATCCTTAAGATAAATACCCTGTTTAGGACAACACCCTCAATTTTATTACCGGGTTCAGGACACAGGTCAAAATGCACGCCTTTTTGTTTTAAAGCAAGAGCCATAGTGGTCCCACTATGGCTCTTATTTAAAGCCATTTATTGGCAATTGCAATAGAGCAAGTTCACGTTGTAGTCATTAGTTTGTATACCGGAGCACAAACAAATTTCTTCAAGCAAATTAAATCAATCGTGCAGGCAATAACCTGTTTATGATTAGGACAGACTCGCACGAAAATTATATACGCTATTTAGGACAGACTGGCGCGAAATTATGTACCCTGTAAGTGTTTATGACAGAGCAGCAAAAGCCGTACCAGCAATACCCTGTCCAGCAGCACATCCCCGTGTGGACCATTTAAGGGAACACACCTCCCGGCATTTCGAGTCGCTCGAAGTTTGCTTCCCCGACAACAAACTTGAGCAAAGGACATGTTATCGGGGGAAGGGGACAACTTTAAGCGTCTCAAAACGCCACCAAAACGCAAATGACCCCACTAAAAGCAAACCTTAGGTGAATCCTTAGTAAAAGAATCTAACGTAGGTTTGCGATGAAATTTGGTACACGATGTAACAAGTCAAGAACACAACAACAACGTTATAATGCTGGCGAATACGGCTATTAAGGGACCTTCGACAATAGCTGGGCGCAGCGCAGATTTAGATGAATGGGGGCGATGCATATGACTTCGCTCAGAACTTGACTTAATTCTACTGTTTCTCCACCTACGTACCTGAAAAATACTTTTGAGAATCTTTGTTTTTGTTCAGCTTTCCATTGTAGACTTAAATTGGACCTTGACAGTTCAATCGAAACAAACTAAGATATAAGATTGCCAAAGAACTGAAGGTATATTTTTGCGAGTTTTTTTGTCATTGGAAAAAAAATTGTTATTATTAAAATCTGTACTTGATTTTCCGGCGGGGTTAAGCTGCAGAAAGAGTGCAGAACGGGGGCGAGTTACCAAATTATCCATCTTTCTAACACAGTTATCACGACTTCGACTCCAAAAGACTCAAAATTATCAATTCTTTTTAACATTTCTCCCGATCACTTGAATCAAGCCGAGGGCGGCTATTACGAAACAAGGTAAATGTATGAATCACATGACGCGCGACATCATTCACTCTGATGCTCGAGCGAGGTTTGATTGGGGCGGGTTTCGAAAAGTTACGCAATCTTATATAGTTCGAACAACCATACAAGTATTATGGAGAGTAGAGTTCACGCTATTGGTAAATTGCGTTAGGACACAATATGCTTAAGATGGAGTTTAGATGGGTCTTATGTGCCAGTCGTAGTGGTTCAGCAAGTTTAAAATCCATCCTCGACGTCCTAGAAACCTTAGTGAGTAAGCCACATCCTTGGTACTCCAAAAACTCAATTGCAATTTGGTCAATACACTGCCTACGGAATATTTCATCCACTTTACCTTTCGATACACCCCATTTTAACAATCTCTCCAAAGGCCCATTTTCACGGCCGCCATTTTGATCAACTTTTAAGCTTACTATGACTCTGTACACAAGTACCCTGCGCAGGCTACTTTTCGCACGCCAGCTCACACCCCGAAAATGTAACCTCGCTCGCGGGGTTGTAAACGAGTTTAATTAAATAAAGCATTTCGGACAGAAGCACCTTGTTGCATGTATATCAGTTTGTAACTCCAAAAACTTCCTATTTTAGGCTACCATTGAGACGTGCACACTCACCAGAGAGTTAAGTGTTCTGATAAATGGGAAATGTGATGTGTTCTAAAATGGGGACAAAGACCATTTTTGGTTGGTTTGGTTGGTCAACTTTCTCAACCAGAACAAAGTGGGCAAAGTGAAAATGGTTGAAAACGTTGGGTAGATTCCACGGATCGATTTTCAAGTGTTGCGTCATTTGAGCACAAAACACTGCTTAGACTTCGGCGTGGAGCCTCCCTTTATAAAGCTTTGTTGAGTACCCCCGTTAGATCTGAGTGATACATCACTTCATGCAGGGAGAGGCCAAACCGCAGACCCTACTCCATGGAGTACAATATGGAGCACTGATTTAAGATCGAGTACCCCTAAAAATCATATGATGGTCAAATAAAGCACTTTATCAACATGGTGAACCATTCAGATGTACATACCTTGCTTGCCAGCTCTCTGATTGTTACTGACTGCCATCTTTAAAATTTTACAACAAATCGCTGACCACTTCAAACGGAAGGCTTACCTCCGCAAAAGATCGGCCAGGATGTCAAGCCTTGGAAGATATTTCAAGCTCGGGTGGGTACTTTTGTAACGTTTATATTTTGCCTTTTCTTGTTGTAGTCAATGGAAATGTCAAATTTAATCAAGTATATTTTAAAACTTTTTGGCTGAATTGTTTTTGTTGCTATCATATCAACAATGCCGCATCATTATGAATAGCCACATGGAAAAAGCTAGGTAAGCGTAGCAAAGTCCCTTAACCCCGTTAAACTACAATGAAAAATTTGACCCTTTTTCTGGCCCTCTTTGGCTCGAAAAAGAAAACGTGAGAGCCTTCCATGAGTTGGTCAGCGGTTTGATGTTAAATTCCAAGATGGCGGTCAATTCGTGGACTGCATCGAACTGTCACACTTGGAGAGCTGGCAAGCTCAGAATAAATTAAGGTATGTACATCTAAATGGTTCACCATGTTGATAAAGTATTTATTTGACCAATACACGATTTTTGATGCGTACTATTCCATGACAGAATCTGTATTTGAGGCATAAAATTTTCACATTTCTGCCTCTGTTGCAGAAAAGCCTGCAAGTGCCCTTTAATAAATTATGTTCGAATGAACTTCTTTGACATTTAACAAAAAACACTCTTGATATACAAGTTTCACAAGAGCAGTTGTATTCAAGGCGAAAAAAGCTATGTACATGTACAGCTGTATACCTCTGTTGCACAAAAGCCTTCATGTGCCCTTCATTGACAAATTGACTTTTACACTGTAGCAGTTAATATTGGACTCTGCATATACGTGTAATCAATGTCAACAGCAATTGCAGGAGAGGACAAAATAATTCATTTCCATGGATGCTTCTGTTGCACAAAGGCCTTCAAATGCCCTTCTACAATCTAAATAATGAACTTCAATAATCAAAGTTCTTAAACTTTTTACAATGTACATGTTGGTGGCTATGTGGAGGTTGCTGTTCATGAACATCAGATGTACTTTTCTACAAAATTAAAGTATCTGTTGTGCTACACTCATTTCCTGAATGAGACTCCAACACAGAGGTGGAGGAATCAACTTCTCTTGGCTTAGACTCACACTGTTTCTGAGTAGATTCCTGCTTTGGATTATGTAAACCATTCATCCCATTGATACCGCTAGACACAGGGGGTACAAAAGGTACACCATATGGGAAATATGGAGGGTAGTGTAACCCTCCCATTCTCATGAAGGTTAGTGCAGCCATATTAGGCACTGGATTGAAGCTTCCATTCATTTCAGGCAGTGAAGGTGGGGCAATGTTCATGTGAAGTACTACAGGAATATAGTGTGTGCCAGATGGATGAAGAGCATATGTTGGCACTGTGTAAGGGTTAGGTATGTACGGTGTTCGTGGTGGAATAGGTGTCGCAACCAGTGGCAAATCAAGACCATTATTAGGCCATTTAAGGCTTCCACTGACAGCCTCATTCACACAACCACTGCCTTCTCCATTGACTTTATCAAACATGTTGGTGCTGGGGGAAAGTCCTTCCCGTTTTTCCTTGTCACTGGAGCTTTCTGGATTTGAAAGAGGACTTCCACTTCCAATCCAGAAACTCACTCCATTCAGGGCAGCCTTTTGTTTCTCTTTCTTGGAGTGGCCATTACCTCCTGTTCCAGAGCTGCTCGGACTCATGGTCTCCTGTGGAGTTAAACTGCTTAGACTGATGTCACTTTCTCTTGTGCATAAAGTGCTTTCAGAACAGTTATTGTAATCACTAATATGTTGGCGCTTTGCTGGGCTAAAACTAGAATGAGGCTCCTGTGGGGTGCCAGCTTCAATGCTATCATGAGACCTTTTGCATCCCAAGGCAGTCTTGGGGCCCCTTGTTGATGTCACATTATCCGAATCACCATTAGAAGATGAGTCAAGATGTTGACCCTGTTCAGATCCACCTCTTTCTACAAACATAAACTTCAGTTCATTTTGCAAATGGCACATGAGTCTCTGAAAACAGGGCTGTTGAAGATCCATGGCCTCCACATTGGTGAGACAGTGGAATACTTCTTTTATGCAGTCGCTAAAGCCACTGTAGTAGTCAGAATTTGAATCTGCCTTCTCAGTGAGTGTTCCATCCCGATTTGCTACAAAAAAGTAAATGTACTCTCATTAATTTGTAATGATAATGCATGAGTGGGGAATTTCTGCTTACCACAAAAAACAGAATGTATTTCTATGATGAGATGTTTGGATAACAGCAATCTTTTAGTGGTTTCAAAGTTGTCACATATTTTGACCAATAAATAGGTGCAAAGAGAATCAGTCTATCACCACCATATTAAAATTTATAAATACAGTAGAACCCTGATAACTTGAACTCCCCGCAAACTTGAACTAAGTCCCACTTTCTTTGAACTTCGTCCCAATTTTCAGTCATTTTTACTCGGTTAATTTGAACTCGGATAAATCTAATTCCTTGCTAGCTCGAGCTAACTATTTTTTCTCTTGATCAAAATTTTACTGAAATTTACCCCAGTAACTCAAATTCTGGTTCTTGTAACTCCACTCAGATGCCATTTCCTTATTTCTTCTTGTTGTATAATTAGTAAAACCACCAAAACTAACACTACAGCAATTTGATTTTGATTGGTGCAACAGACAGATCACATAATTATGACCATAACAAGCATAATCATGTTACCTTTCTGATGAAATAAGTTAAATTAGCACTGTACCAAACACAGAATGGCTGAAAAATTACTAACTATTAATAATTATTATTACACTGTAAGGTGGCAAATTTGGCATTCAATTGACCCCCATAACTCGTAATGTTTTTGGTCTCCCTTCAGAGTTTGAGTTAACAGGGTTCTACTGTATATAAAAATGTTAATGTGTGATGAAATACTAAGAGTAGCCACAAGTCGGGACCCGGAATATATTGTTAACATTCCTTACAAGGTTTACAAACAATATCCCAGGAGTAGGACATTTTAGGTGTTTGCAATTTTCCAAGTCTGACACTGATTTAACACCAGATGTACCTGTATCATAGATGCTGATATGAGGAGTATCCATTTCCTAACTTGGGTCTATAAAACATACCTGCCAGACTTGGATCACTAGATTTCCTTCCTGTTTTAGGTTCCTGTTTTCCAGTGATCTCTTGAAGTTTTTTGATGTATGTTATTGTCTTCTCTAGGATTTCAGCTTTCTCCAGCTTTACATGGAAAGAAAGAGGTACATCAGTATCAAGCAAGACAAATGCAAATACCAAGAACAGACAGCGATCAGGCAGGGCCATCAGTGGCCACACATACCACTAAGAAAACGGTTCACTAGCTGGAACTAAGTGCAAGGTTAATGGGCTTTTTAGACTATCAAAACAACAACTTTGCACCTGCGATACACTTTTTTGTACATTTCTTTGCATGACTATGTTACAGCTACAAATCATGCCTCCACCAGAGGCCAGTACACATGGGTACAAATAATAGTCTCACCTGTTTTGAAGGAGATGAAGATGGCAATAGTTGAGCTATTTCAGACATACTTGAGTTCATCCGGTCCCTTCTTCTCTTTTCAGTAAGCTTATGTGAGTATTCCACCTGAATAGCAAACAAACACTTAAGAAACATGTATAGCCCTCTTGTAGACCTGTTTACCCTCCCAGTTTGTCTTTTCTCTTGGCCTTTCCTAACAAAGACTTAATTAAAATTATTAGCGCTTGTATAAAATATTAACCAATGCTTTTGGGACCTTACTTTAACCTAAAACAACTGTAATTTAACGGAGATTTACATAAGTGAATCACTGTTTGCTTTCACAGCATTGTTCAGGAAGGATTGAAAAAAGATTGGCTGACTTAATTTTCATGTCAACACAGTTCTTTATGTCACTCATTCAGGAAGCCAATTATCAACACAAGCCCGGTGGAAGTAAGAAGTACAATGGATCAACTTTATTGGTAAGTTCTCCATTTATAACTACACTTTGGTAAGAAGAGAGACCCACCCACATACATGGTAGATTTAAACTAGAGGTTCCATATTGGAAGTGAACTGCTGCCCCAACCTTGTTTTTATTTTCTTCCTTTTCTATTTCACTTTTTTGCTTCTTACACACATTACATATCAATAGATTCTTAAATAAAGAAGAAATTAAATACACTTAATACAACAGAAACAAAATTTTTTAACAACTGTTTTTTATCTTGATGCATGAGTTTTTAAAATGGAAAATAGTTTAAAATAACCACATTCACAGAACATAATGCAAGCAATAAATGCCCGAGATTTTATCCGTTATCAAGGAGCATTTTAAGGCTATTTAAAATTACAATTGAGCATACAGTATACCTCAATAAAAATTATCAGTACTATATAAGTTTTATAAGTTTCTAACACTGTACAACTGTTTGACTCGCTTTCTAATTCCCCTCCTTGGGGAAATTATAATTCAGCTTGTTCACTCTGTAGCTTCATTCACCTTTTGAGGCCAGTAAAACTGATAAAAAAGCAGTGAACTACATTGGTAAGGTTATCTACTGAAAACGATTCTGCTGTTGATTGTTGGAATGGGCACTTTAAAACATAAATTGCCTCATGTTGACAAGATGTCATCGATTGTGTCCGGGACCCACAGCAATTTAAACAATTATCTCCTACCAAGTCTGCTTTAAAGCAGTTATTGTTTAAGAATTTGGTTAACAACATCCAATCAAAATGAGGCAATCAGAGGGACAGTTCTGGCTGGCATGCGTAAATCTTGCCAGACATATTAACCATTCTCAAACTGTAGGATTTAAATTTCCTTCAAGGGCCAGCTTTAGGCCTTTTGGATGGATTTTTGATCAGAAGATAAGAAACGAAGCCTGAATCTTTCGAGCTTTCTGCTGCGTGCTTTGAATGCAGAGTGATGCAATTTTCGGGGGGAAAATCACTCTGGCGCTGGAGCCGTTCAAAAGGCAAAAGGAGGACAATTTACCAAAGGTAAAATAACCAAACGTTTATGTTGCTTTAATTCATGCACATATCTAGTGACATACCACTACAGATGAAGCAAATAGTAAATACAGTACATTTACCCCCCCTCCCCCCCCCCCCCGGGTTTTTTTTCCCTTGAATTCCAAATTCCTTTCAACCGGGCCCTTTGCGGTTTACAATTCCCCGGGGGCGGGAGCAACAAAAAAGGGCAAAAGCCACGCCCCCCCCAAACACCCCAACCCTTTTTACTTGATCCTATGGTTTTATCTCCATGAGAACATTTTTAAGCAATTTTTTTTCCACATTTTTTTTCTATTTATTAGTTACGCTATAAAGAGAAAAAGGAGACAAATTACCCAAAAGAAAAAAAACAAAAGGTTTTTTTTGTTTAAATTCCTGCACAATTTTGGGTAAATCCCATTCAAATTCAACAAAAATGTAAACCATGTAAATTTCCCCCCCCCCCCCCCCCCCCGGGTATTTTTTGGCCTTGAATGTCAAATTCCTGTAGACCGGGACTCTTGAGCTGTCAAAATCCCCGGGGACGGGAACGACAAAAGAGGGCAAATGCCCTGTCCTCCATCAACACTGCAACCTTTTATCATTGATCATATGGTTGAATTCCAGTGATGCAAGTTTTAAGCATTTTAATGTGCAATTTTTTGTTTCAATTAATGGCTGCCTTTGAAATAGTGCTATTCTAAGGGTGGATTCATTTGCAACTTACGCATATAGCTGTTGCTTTAGTGTGCTGGAATTTTTTGCTTTTAAGCCTTAATACAATAAAAAATTCCAGTGAACATTGTGGCAGCTACAGTATACATTTAAATTGTTGCAAATGAATCCTAGTCTGTGAACGGCAGACGTTTCTCCTCGCTCATCGTCGCTGAGTGACGTTTCACAAGGAGGAATGTCTGCGACTCAGCGACAGAAATTCCATACTGATGATGCAATCCGGTCAGAAGAGCTAATTATTGATTGATGAAGTAGTTTCATTGTTTTAGCTACTGTTTACGAATAACAGACACAAGTCAAAAGGCCACAAAAGTCAAATGTAAAAGTCAAATGAATCTCTAACAAGACAGTTAAAATTTGCGGAATATACTCTTCTCTAGAAGAAGCATTTGAGTTTTTTGGAGCTCATTCACAGATGAACACAACATTTCACCAAAATCAACCAGGAGAAATGTAAACTTGAACCAAGTTGAGCTTAGAACCCCATGACTACCGGATTTTTTATGTAAACATTGATTTACGCCATCAGTATGGAATTTCTGTTGCTGAGTCGCAGACGTTCCTTGTCGCGAAACATCCCTCAGCAGTGATGGGCGAGGAGAAATGTCTCCCATTCGCAGGCTAAATGAATTCACCCTAATTAAGACTTCACACCGCCATGATGCCAGCTTATGGTGTTAGTATTATTATAACATTATTCACACTACAATTTATTAATAGTGTGCTATTTAGTTATCTGTTCTGGAAAGTTTTATAAATATGAAAGGATTTTCTTCAAATAATATCAACAGAAATTTGATTCAATAACCACAAAAGTATTTATTCAAGTCAATAGCTCCCAATTTCACTATGTAATTCTGGCTTGATAAGCAGGCTGATTGTTTTTCCAGTAAAATCCTCTGTCTACACTGTAGTTACATTCAGATAAGAAAGCAGGTGCATGTGAAAAGCTCGGGGGTGGCCCCCAGGTTGGCGAATGCCTGACCCCCGAGCAGCGCAAAATTTGTTAATACCCCACCCCTGGGACTGACAAGGCAGGCAAATACCCTGCAGAAACCAGGGGGCCTGGGCACAGCTGGAATTCACTGATGCATAATCAAGAAGAAAGGTTGCAAGAATTAATAAAATGATCACTCAACGGAAAATGCTTTGGTCTTTCAACAAATTCTCTCAACTGACTTTTCAAAGGAAATGTATGGAGATCGGTCTGGAGAATAGTGGATACTGGAACTGAAGGGTTAATGTTATTATGAGATAAAACGCGATGCTGTATTGCCCCCCACCACCCTTTGGTCGCCTTGTGAGGGTTTTGAACCAAAACAAAAACTCATCTGTAAAGATTGTACAGTGTATACACCTATTTCAATTAAGGTTGATTCAGAGAAGAATGATGCATGATCCATGTTTCATAGCCCACAGTTCATTATTGTAGCAAGGCTAGTAACTTATGTGCCAGCAATGAGCCCAGAAACCTAGAAAGCAAACCCTGCTGACACTTCTAAGTTATGTCAGCAGAAAGTTAAGACAATATCTTTCAAAACACTGAATCCTAGGCTTTTTAATTTAAGACAGTGATTTGAGGTTAGGTTTTTCCCTGTGGTAATGTGCAAATGCTGCAAATTTTCAATGAATTTGCTTGGCTCGTGCACGTGGGAATTTTGGATGGACTTTAAAAAAATCAAATTCAAGGTGTTTGTTGAACAACAATAAATAACTTAGAAATACATGTTTATCTATTTTTGAGGCAATTTTTTTAAAACTGAATAAAAAAGAATAGCGTTGATTTGCTTTATTGAAATAACCAGCATTCTGGCCCATGCAAAAATGCAGCTTAATCAGGCAGGCCTATTCATTTAATGTTGTTAAAGAAAGAGGCTTCTAATTTTTTACTATGAAATTTTAAAAATGAAATTTTTCAGCTAACTAGGTGTATAAAATGCCAATACTGCGTATTGCTCACGCATGATCTAGCGCCTTTTTGGCTAACCCATACACAGACGTTGTTTTATTTTTCTTTTCCTTCTATTGGAACACACCGGCATGCGCGAGGGCGAGGCGAGCAGGCGAGGGAAGCGAGCGACGAGCGACAGGAAGAAAAATATATTTTCTACTTCCCCACCCCTACCTCTTTGCGCTGGCGGTCAATAAATCACCTGCGGTTTTTATTTTTTATCACGCGCGCTCAACGGACTTTGAAGAGAAAAAACAGAGGGTCTGTGAATAGGCTGCTTTTTGGCGGGAAAACATGATAGTCGACGTCATTCTACCACGAGTTTTAGCGACAATGTGGCGGGAACAACTTATCAAATGTGAGAAGTTTCATCATTTTGCCATCGGGAGAGGGCTTAACTTCCTTCAGCATAAATAACCGTACTAACTTTGTTGGTGAAAAATGGTGAAATGAAGCTTTCTAGGGTGTCTCTTTCTTCAGAACACGCACACAAACGTTAAGGTAAATCTCGAACTCGTACTCCTTCTCGTCCTTGAATTTAAAGCCCTCTATTTCTCACTTCGTTCTAAGATATAAAAAGCTGACATAGCCGCAATATTACTACAAAATGTTAATCTAAAATTAAAATGTAAATACGGTGTCGATGGCAACACCATGAGTTAAAAAAATTATATAAGCTTGACATGCGAATAAATGGCCGGCTAAGTACTGTACTTTCAAAACGTCAACAGTAGAATCTTACACGTGAGAAAAAAAAAACAATCTTTTTAGATCAGTTTCGTTCTGACAACCAAAATTTTGTAACCACAAAAAAAATTTTCTTCTACAAGCTTCTATAACTAATGACTCTTCGGTATCAGATCGAAGAATAGAACTTTCGCTTAGAGTAGCTTCAATGTATTGTTTAAGATTTCAAGTTAACTACAGACTTTTCACAGAAATAATCATGGGCTTACCTTGCTTCCTCGAAGCTTGGTAGGACCATAAGAAAGCGGACTGTGTGTAGAGCAGCGACTGATGGAGCGATCGCTCAAAGCCTCAATCATGTCCGTGGAAGACTCTGCCATGGCGAACGTAAACGGTCAAACTACTCTTGTTTTACCGAGAAAAAAGTTAACTGTAACCAACAATCCAAGAATAAACCCCAGCTACTGTTTGATAACATCTGAGTTCAGTCGGTTTAAAGCATAAAACTGAAGATTTTGAAACTTTCTCGTTTAATATATGGTAATTTCGCGGCACGTG